CGTTCTTAAAAACACGAACTACAATACTAGGGCTTTAATACGCAACAACAAACAACAACAAAAACAGTAGATAAAAAACATACAGTGGAGTGTAGAAATAAAACTCTACGTTTAGATTACGTTGATATTTTTTCGGATAATTTATATTCTGTTTGAATTGGTGGATTTGGTATCTTATAGGTACAAATCGAAAATTAGGTATCTAGGAAGCAAAAATGATCAAAGAGTAACAAAAGAGTTGCAATTACGAAATAATATGAAATTAGAAGAGAGAATCCCACAACATCTTTGATAGTGTAGGTCCTCGAAGTCGGGCATAACTTTCTCATCCGGACTCCAAATAAACTGGTTTTGGCGGCATTAGAAAGCTATTTCAGCTTGCTCCAATTCCTGTCTAACGGAAAAAATCCAAATTCGGACTCCAACATGGTCAAAATTGGATTCAAAAAGCGATCATGAAAACACGTACTACAGTTCGAGGACATGAATGCGCATCAAGAAACATGCACAAAAACACTCGCTAGAAAGAAACGGACATAAGTAAGAGTACAAAAGCACGCACAAAAGTACTCACGCAAAGGTGCATTCGCAAAAAGGATCATGAAAACATCAACTCCAATCCTAGGACACTAATACAAATCAACAAGCAGGCACAAGCACACTCGCTCAAATGGACATGCACAAACGTACATGTAAACAACCATGCGCAAAAGTGCATTCGCAACAACGTTCTTAAAAACACGAACTACAATACTAGGACTTTAATACGCATTAACGAACAACAACAAAAACACTAGATAAAAAAGATACAGTGGAGTGTAGAAATAAAACATTACGTTTACGTTTTAGTGGATTTTTTTTCGGACTAATTTATATTTATGTTTGAATTGGTGGATTTGGAATCTTATAGGTACAAATCAAAAATTAGGTGTCCACGAACCAAAAATGATCAAAGAGTAAGAAAAGTGTTGCAATAAGGAAAATAAAATCAAATTAGATGAGAGAATCCCTCAACATCTTTGGTAGTGTACGTCCACGAAGTCGAGCATAACTTTCTGAACCGGACTCCAAATCAACTGGTTCCGGCGGCATTAGAATGCTATTGCAGCTGGTTACAATTCCTGTCTAACGGCAAAAATCCAAATTCATACTCGAAAATGGTCAAAATAGGATTCCAAAAGCGATCATTAAAACACGTACGACAGTTCGAGGACATGAATGCGCATCATGAAACGTGCACAAAAACACTCGCTAGAAAGATACGCACATAAGTATGAGTAGAAAAGCATGCACAAAAGTACTCACGCAAAAGTGCATTCCAAAAGGATCATGAAATCACAAACAATAATCCTAGGACATTTATACAAATCAACAAACATGCACAAGCACACTCGCTCAAATGGACATGCACAAACGTACATATAAAAAAACATGCGCAAAAGTGCATTCGCAACAACGTTCTTAAAAACACGAACTACAATACTAAAACTTTAATGCGCATAACCAAACAACAATAAAAACAGTAGATGAAAAAGATACAATGGAGTGTAGAAATAAAACTCTACGTTTACGTTACGTGGATTTTTTTCGGATTAATTTATATTTCTGTTTCAATTGGTGGATTTGGTATCTTATAGGTATAAATCGAAAATTAGGTGCCTAGGAAGAAAAAATGATCAAAGAGTAACAAAAGAGTTGCAATTAGGAAAATAAAATCAAATTAGAAGAGAGAATCCCTCAACATCTTTGGTTGTGTACGTCCACGAAGTCGAGCATAACTTTCTCATCCGGACTCCAAATCAACTAGTTTCAGGCGGCATTAGAAAGCTATTTCAGCTGGCTACAATTCCTGTCTAACGGCAAAAATCCAAATTCGGACTCGAACATGGTCAAAATTGGATTCCGAAAGCGTTCATGAAAATACATGCTACAGTTCGAGGACATGAACGCGCATCAAGAAACGTGCACAAAAACACTCGCTACAAAGATACGCACATAAGTAAGAGTGCAAAAGCATGCACAAAAGTACTCACGCAAAACTGCATTCGCAAAAAGGATCATGAAAACACAAACTACAGTCCTAGGACATTAATACAAATCAACAAACATGCACAAGCACACTCGCTCAAATGGACACGCACCAACGTACATGTAAAACAACATGCGCAAAAGTGCATTCGGAGCAACGTTCTTAAAAACACGAACTACAATACTAGGGCTTTAATACGCAACAACAAACAACAACAAAAACAGTAGATAAAAAACATACAGTGGAGTGTAGAAATAAAACTCTACGTTTAGATTACGTTGATATTTTTTCGGATAATTTATATTCTGTTTGAATTGGTGGATTTGGTATCTTATAGGTACAAATCGAAAATTAGGTATCTAGGAAGCAAAAATGATCAAAGAGTAACAAAAGAGTTGCAATTACGAAATAATATGAAATTAGAAGAGAGAATCCCACAACATCTTTGATAGTGTAGGTCCTCGAAGTCGGGCATAACTTTCTCATCCGGACTCCAAATAAACTGGTTTTGGCGGCATTAGAAAGCTATTTCAGCTTGCTCCAATTCCTGTCTAACGGAAAAAATCCATACTTTCCAAGCAGCTCGACCGTGACACGCCTGCTTGATTTCTGCTTTTCTTTTATTCAGCTTATTGCCAAACGACGTCGTTCCGTTCTCTTTTACTCTGCTCATTGCCAGAACGACGCCGTTTCAGTGCCTCGACGTCACATATCGCCCACAACTGTTGACCTCCCCCACCCGCTTCGCCCGGCGTCCGCCGCCGCTTCCCCTGATGCTCCTATCACGTGGCGCCGCTTTTTTCCTCCAGTAGTATGCCTTGCCGCCCTCCTCGTCTATATCTCTAGCCACTTCCCTTTTTCCTCCTACTTCCGTACGTGCGTTGTCCTCCTCGTGCCACTGCTGCAGAAATATTTACCTTCCCATCTCTATTTGTTAATCCTTAGAACTGAGGTTCATTGAATTGAATACGATGTTTTCTTCCTCACCCATTTTCTGATTTCTTATTTAATTTCGATTAAACCTGTTCTCCGGCGATTGTCCAGCGGCGATTGTCCAGGTGTTCCAGTGACTTGCTTCAAAACTCGGCCAACCCTCGCACCGCCACTACTACTCCGTTCGGGGTCGGCACCCGTTTCCACGCCGCAGCTCCAATTTTTTCTTCCAACACTTTTTCTCCTCAAGAACCTTTTAGCCACGCGGGGCGGCTATCCGCATGTGTCCAAAAGTGACGTCCATTTTTTTGTAATGGGTATACTAGAAAAAAAAGGTTTGGAATTCGACCTCGCCTTACAAACACCCGCATAATTAGCTTAATTATCAAAAGTAATTAACACAGGATTGCAGAATTAAGTAGTCAACAGTCATGAATAAAAAAAACAAAAAGGGGCAGATTTACATGAGTCTCTAAGCATACTATAAACGTTGTTCTTACACAATCGAAATATCCCCAAAAATTAAAACAAAAATCAAAATCAAAATAAAAAAACCCCTCGGAAATGGAGAAACAATTCTAGAGAAGGTTTTTGAAAAAAAAAATCAATTGAGATAATAAAATCCTTCAATAATAATTAATACCTTCTAGAAAAGTTGAACGGAGAAAGGACGCCGGAAGTATCTCTGCCAGCCCACCCGAATGCCCCAACTAGGTGCTCTGTATCGTGATATTTCCCCATTTTCGTAAAAAAATAATTAATTAAAAAAATTCTCAAGCTTATCTCTCTCCAGGAATCAGCGTATAGGATCCGTATACGGCGGCGGCAAATTGGAGTAAGCTTCTGTGGGTGGAAAAAGGAGCAGCGGTGGGACGAGGAGAAGAGGACACGTGAATGGGAGCCGACATCGACGGAAGCAGGACGTGGAGGTGGAGGGCCGGAAGAAGGTCAACAATAGCTGCCGGCGGAGAGGAGGTTTTTTGGTGGGGTGAAGAAACGACGTCGTATGGTAAGAAGCAGATTAAAAAAAAAGGTAAAAATGAAGCACACATGTCACGGTCGAGCTGGTTGAAAAATAAAAGAAAAAGAAAAGATTTGAGGATGGTGATTGGACCGATAGAACCAAACGACGACGTTTGAGGATTAGTTGGGCCAAAAATAAATGAGAAAGAAAAGGCATAAGAAAAAGGATATGGGGATCGTCCCCTTTTTTTTATGCATTTTCTTTTTCCTTTTCTTTTGCCCCATTTTAATAAGAAACGCCGTCGTTCCGTTGTTTCGTTCCAATCATCTTCTTCCTTTTTTTTTTCTTTTCACTTTATTTCTGGAGCAGCTCAACCGCGTCCTGCTTCTTTCTTTTCGTTTTATTTTTATTCTGCTTGCCATGAAACGACGTCGTTTGGAATACCCCTCCCACTTTACCTGTCTTCCTCGCCTACTATTGTTGACCTCCTTCTGGCCCTCCACGTCTTGCTTTGGTGGATGTCGTCTCACCGCTGCTCCACTTTTCCCCACAAAACCTCGGGCCGCCAACTTGCCCCGCACCCCAATACTTCCCGTTTCAATCTCTCCAAATTCCACTCAAAACCCTCCTCAAATCTCCTCTTCTTTCAGATTATCGAGTCTCAACAGCCGGAGAAGGAACAAGAATCATCTTTGTCCGAACCTCGTTTTTTGTAATAAGAACAGCTGCCCACAAGCCGATAATCAATAATTACAGCTGAAAATAAAGATTTGATTAAAAGGGTCGGCCGAGGAGTGCTCGGTTTCGCCGCCGCCGTGTCGTTGCTCTGTGATTCGCCGGCGTTTGCTGAATCACTGACAGTAGCTTTTCCTGTTTCTCACAACCGTGAGGTAATATTTAAAAAAAGAAGAAGTTATTTATTTATTTATTTATTGTTTTATGTAAGCAATTCTCTGCAAGAATCAAATGTTTTCGAACCTTCGTGACACAACAAGGCCAGGAACTTAATACTCGCTAAAAGATAAAAGCGTCGGAGTTTCACAGACTCAAACAAAAGGAACTGGCTTGAAGTTTTAGAATAGGAAGCGACGGAAATTTGCAAGGTGTCGGCTTATTTATCAACGTTCAACCGCATACAGGACACGTGGTGGGTTGACTTTACGCATTTCCGTACTTTTTTTTATAATATCGAATATTGATTTGCTTTATTTTTTTGTTTACTTATGAAGTTTTTTTTTTCCCAAGATTGGCATGTAATTTTCTATTTTACTTTATTATAAGTTGTTTTATCGTGCATAAAGAATAGCCCAGCTGCGCGAGCTGGTATACGCGAGGGAGATGAGCTAATGGAAATAAACGGTAATTTACATTAGTACTTAATAAACTAGAACAATAGTTTATTGATGAATAGTTTTAATAAAAAATAATAAACAAAATTTCTAATAATCGGTTTGATGATTTTTTATTTTTTTTGTGGTGCATAATAGGTAAAAGACTCGACGGAGTGGCAAGTGAAGCAGCTGCACAAAAGCTCAGGGGACATGTCGGAACAACTGGGGAGGTTATTCCACAAGCTCCCTCTCGTTGTGAAGAGAGTGAGTCTGTAGAGCCTACGAGCAAAATATTTTTTGTCTCTCAATAGCCGAGTGGTTCCTTGAGTTCCGTAGACTATTGTACTAGTAGGGCTTGCCTATTATTCCACCCACGTCTATCCATAAGTCATGAGAGCGAGCTTGCTTCTCCGGCGCATGGCTATTTCCCCCGTCCAGTCCCCCCCGGTTGGGCCAAGCTAATGAGATCCGGGCTCAGCCCATTTGTAGTAAACGCAGCTTAAAGACTATCACTATTCCAAAACATTGATGAAAGAAAACCCCAAAAAGTTATTCCCACCCTCCCAGGGGGGTACTTGATTGATCAGGGGAAAGGTCTACTTTTGACCCCTTATGATATGGGGGTCGTTAGCGCTACCAGTGCATTTCTTCCTCTGCTTGTCCGCTACCCTTAATAATGCCTTCCATCAGTATGAGTGAGCGTGTTTCCCAGCTCCCGGTCTTTCTAACGAACAAGGGTTCTAAGAAATTAAGCCTTGTCATGGCTGGTTGGGGTTAGAATTCATAAAGGTGGGTAGAGATGGCCGCAGTAGATTCTTCCGACCGAGTCCCAGTGGCAGAGTCTTGAGGCACGAATCCAACGGCAAGAGAATCAGCGGCTGATCGCGATTCATCAGTCGCAATTCTCCCAGCAGCTATCCATTTTTTTGAGTTCGCCAGTCAATGACTGAGCTGTGATTGCATAGGTAATATTTCAAGCTGGAGCGGAGGCAGCAGAGACGAAGGTGAGAGCAGGGGGGTAGGAGTGCAAGGGCAATTAGTACGGGTTGCCATATATATCTGGATGGATTGGAACGAAGGGATGAAGGAGGGAAAGCACTAATTGAGGCAAGTTTCCTATCCCATGGGGCTGGCCTCCGACCATAAAAGAGAAGTAGGAATGGGATCGATGCAGTTGCCCAGGCATCCAATGCATTTAGTACAGCTGACTGAACACCAGCACAATCTTGATACAACAAATGAAAGATTCAACATTTCCGCACGCGATTCGCCATTGAAAGCTCCTTGATTTGATACTAGCACTTGAGAGCGAAAGGAAGCCTCTTCTTTTGATGATGTTCTAGCTATGTAAGTTGGTTCGCCTACTACTCTTTCTTCTATGATGCTATTTCGGTCCCATTCATAATGGCATAGGAAAGTTTCCCTAATGACTGATCAACCCATGGAACTAAGGTTTGGCTACTTCTGTATGGTCTTACCGAGAACCCTTCAGATAGGTCCATGTGTGATTATTATTTCTTTAGAATTTCATCATTGACCGTGTGAGGCATTCCATACATCTATTTTTCTCTGGAGCTGATAGATCTAGAGCAAAGCAAAGCCTTTCTTTCACTCACATCTGGGACCGTGAAGCAGTACCTATGGAAAGGATCAAAAACCATAGGTAAGGGGGAACAAGCTCTTCGGAACGGATTCCCATCTCTTTGAAGAGAACATTTTCAACCCACTATAGTTCACTCCATAAAGGCTTAGGAAGGAGTAGCACATTCTCCTAGGAAGGATTTCCCCGTCAACCGTGATGAATGAGTTACACAGGCCCGTTAGTGACACCGCTCTGGATAAAGCGATGTGGGATAAGATCTTTTCTTCTTTGAGCCTAGCCTACCTTGTTCATATCGAGCCGGACAGGAGAGACACTTTAAAGTGAATAGAAGCAATTCCTTTTATAAGCTTGAAAATAGGCGCTGTAAGTCAATCAATTCAAATAGATAGCGGAATTTCTACCAGAGAGGAGCTCCTATCTATAAAGAAAGGGCGCCCTGTCCGCACTGATAGGACAGCTACGCACCTTTACTACCACCAACTGGAGGCCGGATTGCTACCAGAGAGAGGGATCCTGCTAGCACTGAGTGTCTTCTTTCCACTAGGCTGAAATACGGCAGATTTCTCACCCTAACTCCCGCACCCGCCTCTGAATCCTTCTTTCTTTTCTTTCTCCCTTTCGCTAAATGCTTCCGAACCTAAATGCTCGATAGACTGGATGGCAGAAGAGGATCTAAGATGTGCGGAAAGGCGAAAAGGAAAGAGATCTAGTACTTCCAAACCTAGACTAACTATCAAGCCGCCTAACCACTTTGACCTTTCGTGGAAAGTCTTCTGCTCGTTCAGATTCTCGTTACACTCCTTCTTTCCTCTCTCTCTCAACTGGATTATAGAATAGAACTAGATTAGACTAGAAGGGAGGAATGAATACACGCTTAGACCTTGCGGCGTCTGACTTTCCTCTTTTACTGCTTCACTCTTACACTTTTTATTCACCTGCTAACTTTCTTAATTCATTGAGGTAGGATCCATAAGACATATAATATATAGATGTTGGGTTGAGTAGGATATCCGTCTGTCTTTATAGTGCAGATGGACTGATTTTACCTTACACAAACTAGACTTACATGAACCAGCGAGAGGTTCCCCACTCTTCTTTGATCCGTCTTAGGACCGAGTGGCAGCCTCGACCCGAGCGGAAGTGCGATGTGTCTGGAAACTCGGGATCGTAAATGGATTCCAGTACCATTTTGATCGCCTCTTTCATGATCCTTTCTATAGGTAGGGCTTCCCTACCTAATGCTTTCTTTCCCGAAAAATCAAAATTTCCTTCTTTCTTGGTGCAGGTTCGTATGGACTAAGAGTTCCGGTAGTGGGCTTGACCAGTGTTGTAGTTCGTGTTTTTAAGTCCTAGTGTTGTAGTTCGTGTTTTTAAGAACGTTGTTGCGAATGCAGTTATGCGCATGTTTTTTTACACGTACGTTTATGCATGTCCATTTGAGCGAGTGTGTTTATGCATGTTTGTTGATTTGAATTAATGTCCTAGGATTGTAGTTTGTGTTTTCATGATCCTTTTTGCGAACGCACTTTTTCGTGCATGCTTTTATACTTTTACTTATGTGCGTATCTTTTCTAGCGAGTGTTTTTGTGCATGTTTCTTGATGCGCATTCATGTCCTCGAACTGTAGTAAGTATTTTCGTGATCGCTTTTGGAATCCAATTTTGACCTTGTTCGAGTCCGAATTTGGAATTTTGATGTTAGACAGGAATTGTAGCCTGCTGAAATAGCTTTCTTATGCCGCCGGAACCAGTTGATTTGGAGTCTGGATGACAAAGTTATGCTCGACTTCGTGGACACTACCAAAGATGTTGAGGGATCCACTCTTCCAATTTGATTTTATTTGCCTAATTGCAACTCTTTTGTTACTCTATGATCATTTTTGCTTCATGGACACCTATTTCGATTTGTACCTAAAGAGACTAAATCCACCAATTAAAACAGAAATATAAATTAATTTTAAAAAAACCACGTAAATGTAAACATAGAGTGTTATTTCTACACTCTACTGTATCTTTTGTATCTAGTAATTTTGCAGTTGTTTGGTTATCCGTATTAAAGTCCTTGTGTTGTAGTGCGTGTTTTAAATGTTGTTGCGAATGCAGTTATGCGCATGTTTTTTTACACGTACGTTTATGCATGTCCATTTGAGCGAGTGTGTTTATGCATGTTTGTTGATTAATATTAATGTCCTAGGATTGTAGTTTGTGTTTTCTTGATCCTTTTAGCGAAAGCACTTTTGCGTGCATGCTTTTATACTTTTACATATGTGCGTATCTTTTCTGGCGAGTGTTTTTGTGCATGTTTCTTGATGCGCATTCATGTCCTCGAACTATAGTAAGTATTTTCATGATCGCTTTTGGAATCCAATTTTGACCTTGTTCGAGTCCGAATTTGGAATTTTGACGTTAGACAGGAATTGTGGCCAGCTGAAATAGCTTTCTTATGCCGCCGGAACCAATTGATTTGGAGTTCGGATGAGAAAGTTATGCTCGACTTCGTGGACACTACCAAAGATGTTGAGGGATCCACTCTTCTTATTTGATTTTATTTTCCTAATTGCAACTCTTTTGTTACTCTTTGATCATTTTTGCTTCATGGACACCTAATTTTCGATTTGCACCTATAAGACACTATATCCACCAATTAAAACAGAAATATAAATTAATCCAAAAAAAATCCACGTATATGTAAACGTAGAGTGTTATTTCTACACTCTACTGTATCTAGTAATTTCGCAGTTGATTGGTTATGCGTATTTAAGTCCTAGTGTTGTAGTTCGTGTTTTTAAGAACGTTGTTGCGAATGTAGTCATGCGCATGTTTTTTTACACGTACGTTTATGCATGCCCATTTGAGCGAGTGTGTTTATGCATGTTTGTTGATTTGAATTAATGTCCTAGGACTGTAGTTTGTGTTTTCATGATCCTTTTTGCGAACGCACTTTTTCGCGCATGCTTTTATACTTTTACTTATGTGCGTATCTTTTCTAGCGAGTGTTTTTGTGCATGTTTCTTGATGCGCATTCATGTCCTCGAACTGTAGTACGTATTTTCGTGATCGCTTTTGGAATCCAATTTTGACCTTGTTCGAGTCCGAATTTGGAATTTTGACGTTAGACAGGAATTGTAGCCTGCTGAAATAGCTTTCTTATGCCGCCGGAAACAGATGATTTGGAGTCCGGATGAGAAACTTATGCTTGACTTCGTGGACACTACCAAAGATGTTGCGGGATCCACTCTTCTAATTTGATTTTATTTTCCTAATTGCAACTCTTTTGTTACTCTTTGATCATTTTTGCCTCATGGACACCTAATTTTTTATTTGTACCTATAAGATACTAAATCACCAATTAAAACCGAAATAATTAATCCAAAAAAAAATCCACGTGAACGTAAACGTAGAGTGTTCTTTCTACACTCCACTGTATCTTTTGTATCTAGTGGTTTTGCTGTTGTTTGGTTATGCGTATTAAAGTCCTAGTGTTGTAATGTTTTTAAGAACGTTGTTGCGAATGCACTTTTGCGCATGTTTTTCTACATGTAGGTTTGTGCATGTCTAATTGAGCGAGTGTGTTTGTGCATGTTTGTTGATTTGTATTAATGTCCTAGGATTGTAATTTGT